GAGATGCGGAGGGTGAGAGGATTCACCAGAGACAGAGAGGGGAGCAGAACAGGCAGATTGACGAAGTACACTGCTGAGGGGAGTAGCAGGCGCCATGTGGAACTCCTCCAGGGCAGGCGGAAATCGAACTCATGCTGAAGTAGCTTAAGCTTCTTAGTGCTGTGCTTTAACCCGCTGCGCCACCAGGGAGGGCCCATAACCAGATTATATTAAGAGCTCTTCCAACTCAACAAGATAACCTAATCTAATTTAAACATGGGCAAGGGACTTGAATAAGACATTCCTGAAAAGACACACAAATGACAACTCATGAAGAGAGATCTTCACCACATCACTGTTAGTCAACATGGAATGCAAACCAAACCACAATGCAGAATCACTTCAAATCATTAAAATGGTGATTATGAAAAACAAGTGTTGGAAAGAACATAGTACAACTAAAACTCTAAACATAGCTGGAGAAAGAGTAAAGTGAACAGTGACTATGGAAAACAATATTTAGCTCCTCAAAAAGTTAAAGGGAAAAAAAGTTAAACACAGAATTATCATACAATTATGATATACTCCTAAGTATATATTCAAAAGAATTGAGAGTTGGTACTAAAATATATGTACATGAATGTTTGCAGCATTATTACTCACAATGAGCAAAAGGTAAACCAAATGCTTTACCAATGGATGAATGGATAAACAAATTATGATACACACATGCAATAGAATAACATTCTACCATAAAAAGGAATAAAATACTGACATGTACTACAACGTGAATGAAAGTGAAATATCATCACTGTAAGATAAAGAAGCACAAAAAGCGCACATTATTTGATTCCATTTATATGAAAAATTCAGAATAGGTATAGCCATAAAGAAAGAAAACAGATTGGTAGTTGACAGGAGCTGGGAGAAAAGGGGAGCTGGGCAGCAAATGCTTAATGGCTATAAGATGAATTGTACTATTTTTTAAATAGTAAAAGTGGTGATTAACAACATTGTGAATACATTAGTGCTCTGAATTTTTCACTTCAAAATGACTAATTTTATGTTACATGAATTTTAACTCCCATACTAAAATTCCTTAGCAAATTTTAAGATGGCTTGTATTTGCACATAAAGTCAATATATAATGTCATAAACATATTATAAATTTGTATTTATATGGAATATAAATTTGCTTTCTTGATCAAAAAAAAAAAAAACCAACCAACCAACCAATCAGCTTGGGCCAATTTTTTCCCCTAACCTCTTAATTACTAACTTCTCCTAGACATTTTTAGGTTAAAAGATCCTAAGTCTAATCTCTCAGCCATCTTTCAACCATACAGTCTTCAGATCCAAACCCTTTAGTTACTTGATAAATCCAGTATAGTGGATCCTGAGTCAAATGCTAGTTATTCATTTAACAAATAATTATTATATATCAACTAGATGCCAAAAATTACACTAGCTGCTGGGGATAAAGTGAATAAAGCAAGAACTGTTCTTCCTTTCATGGAATTTAGCTGTTCTTCCTTTCATAGAATGCAGTACAAGTTCATCAAATGTGTCATTTTTAATTACATACACTGATGACTTTTTCACTTACCTAGACTTTAATTTTTATCCTGTTAAAATTCTATTATTTCTAATCACATTCACTTATCCTTCACTAGACATTGGTTTGTTATCTCTGCTCCTATATATCCTGGATTTCAGAGCTCTACCAGAAGAAGGTCAGGACTGAACAAATTTACTATATTTCAAGGTCTCAGGATCTGTCTGATTTTCTTGCTTTAAAGCATATGCCAGAGGACAAACCCACAATCACCTAAAAGATCTGCCAGAGAGATTATACTCTACTCTGATATTCATGAACTCTCTGGCTTTGCTAGGTGCTATCGAAGCTTCATTCCAACTCTATGACCCCATACAAACTATATATTACTATAAGTTTGTAATGTTTTAAGTAGCTCAAACAATTAAATCAGAAATAGAAATATAACAGTTATGAAACAGCATTCAATATGGCCCATTTTCCTTTCATTATGATGAAATAAACCCTGAAAAGTGATAGACAAAATTTCAGCCTTATTAAGTACCAGCATGCAGGTAAAGCCTAGCAAATTTGAGGAATAAATGTTTATCTGGCATCATGTAAATGTCAATGATATTTCAACTTGCTGAGATGCCAGAATTGATCCAAGTTAAGCTCCTGTCAAGTTAAGCTCCCTTCAGAATGGAATCCAGGTGACTTGGGGCTAGCCTCCAGAGGGTCAGGAAAGCATCCTCTTGTTCCCTCTTCTCATTCATGTAACCACCTTTCCTCTTTACAATTACCCTTTTTTGCTAACTTTTTGGGTAACTATTTTTGAAGCCAATGTTTCTCTTCTTTTGGATTTTTTAAAGGATATCTTGCTTTTGGGGGGATAATAGTAGAAGGGGAAAAAGTAATTAAGCCTGGATAATAATCTTCTGACTGTGAGGTTAATTAGGTTTTACAAGGTGTCTGCTTTGTAGAGGTTTTCTTTTTTAATATAGTATTATTTTAATTAGAAAAAAATAAATATCAATGGTATCAAATGAACTTAGAGGCATTATCTATGTAACATTTCATCATCATACACATATTTTATGTCACTAATGGAGAAGAGTGAGAAAGGAAGGCAATGGGAACTTTCTTTCATGTATAAATACATAGTAAGCCTTGTCCTAGAAGTTTATTTTATGTCCTCTGGAAACGTATTACCCATTTCTTTTTTTCAAGAAGGAAGGTTGCAAGGGAGGAATGGAAAAGAGAAGGAAGGGATGATGGAAGGCAGGAGGGAGGGAAGAGTCATTTTCATAGTTTAATTTTCAAACAACATTTAAATGATTTAACAAATTTCATATACATAACAGTTAAAAGGACTATTA